AGCTCATTCGATGTTCTTCTGGATGTCCCTGAAATTTGTTTTTTTATCCTAGAGTTTATTCGATGTTTTTCCGAGTATCTCTGGTGTGTTTCAGAGTTCATTCGATGTTCTTCCAGACGTTTATGATGTTTGTTTCTCTCTGTATATTTTCTGACGATTCCTGAAGATCCCGCTCGATCTCTTTGTTTAAAGGAATGTTCCGAAAATTCTAGCACTTGTCATTTACCTGATCCTACCGCCGTGTGGATCCTGTGTTACCGTTTCATCCTAAAGTAACAACTGGTCGTGCCTGCACCGATTGATCCATCACTTTAGAGTTCCCCAGTGTCGTGCTGTTTCATCAGTGCGTCGTTGTCCCCAGTGAGGTTTGGCCTTCGCGTATGTCCTCTGTGTCGTCATGTCGTCTGCATCCTTGCATTTATCATTCCATCATACGCATCATATTAAAGTCATGGCATTGTCAATATTGTAGTCGTTTCGTTTTGTCCATAGCACTGCGTCTAAGAGCAAAATTTTCGGTTATCTGTATTTAAATCCCTCTACCGTGATTCCTTGAGTCTCCGCTGCTCAAATCATCCGGTGAAGATATTTAAATAGGGGCAACTGTAATACCCCAAATTTTTCCCTAACATTATTAGGTTCATTTCGCACGTCATCTCATCCTGCATGACATTTTTAACTAACCGCTAACCGGTTTGTTCAGTCTGTTGGTTTTTGCAGGAAAATGGATTCTCTGCTTATCTGTTCAAGGCCATATTCACTGACTTTATTATCAGCCACAAATTGATTTTCTAGATGATGTGTTTGGGCTCAATTACGCCCGATCTAAATCGTACAAAATGTTTAATTGCCGAGTTCGGAGTTGGAAATCAGATAAGTATCATTTAAAGAATTTAATTAATTTGATTTTTATTTGGATGAAGAGTTTAGCCATTTGGATTTAATCGAACAAGTTGGATTTATTCAAATGAGATTATTCGTTTAAGTTACCGGAAGGATTATTCGGAAGTTTTATCGGAGATGAGATTTAATCGATTGAATTGGTTTGAGAATTGGGAATTAGTAAAAAATAGAGTTTTTATTTTATTATTGTGGTTGGATATACAAATAATGAAATATAATTTTATTTATGTTTTATTTCATTTTAATATCGAAAAAAATAATAGTTTCATTTCATTTTAATATCAAAAAGATTTTTTTTTTATTTCATTAGATTATATCCAAAAAATGAATAATTTTATTTCAATATCAAAAAAATAATTTTATTTCTTTACAATATCAAAATAAATAAATAAATTGACAAAATTAAATTACATTTCTTTTTCTAAAATCCTAAAAAAACTTTTTTTGATTTCTTCGAGTCTCCAATTTTATCCGAACCAGCAAATCAACAACAAATAAGTTTTTAAAACGGTTAGAAATTTGGTTCCGATACCCTCAGCTTAATGTCATCATCGAGTACGTCGGGAGGGCAACGACGAAGTCAAAGCCAGCTCCCGACTTATTTTCAACCTCGGGCTAAAACCGACAATAATCTATTATCCAACCAAGAGAGAGAGAGAGAGAGAAAAAAAGTGATTGTTTGCGAAAAAAGTGATTCCTGAAAAGTGCTTTTGGGAAAAGCACTTTTCTTGCAAAAAGTGATTTTTTTCCAAACAAGGCACAAACAAGTTTCCTGAAATTTCTGATGTCGAGATGGATTAAACAGCAAGTTGCCTCAATAACTTTCGGAAAATTCTCGCAACAAATCCAGCCTACCAACAAGCAACATTAATTTGGAAAAGGCATAAAATAATGCAATGAATTTGTAACCCACAACAACAAAACATCACAAGCTCGGTCAAACAAATCATTAAACCGTGAGGAAAAAACGCATCCAAATCGGGAGGATCCAAGCCCATTGATGAAAAATGAAAATCAGTATATAAATCATCAAACCCGTAAGATCAAGGGTGGCTGAAAAAACCTTAGATTCAGAAACCCTTGCGGTTTCATCATCATCAATGAACGGACAGACGAAGTCGGATGGAGAAAAGAAGATTGAAACGCGTCATCATCAGAAAGGGACAAGCCAGGACGGCGCCAAAATCAAACCGTCGGCCAACGGAGTTTTCCGACGACTTTGAACGGAAGAAGATTCCGACGGCTCTTTCTGTTCAAAGCATCACAGACTCAGAGGAGCGAAAACCGCACCCTCCATCATCGTCCTGCCGTCATCCCTTAGAGAAGTCGCTTCAAACCCCTAACTGAGGTGAGCAACTTCATCATTAACGGGTTCTATGTTTTGTTTTACAGATATTCATCAGAGAGAAGAGGCCATGCAAGCGATGGAGAAGAAAAGCTTCAAATGGGTCAACAATGGCCGCCGACCATTTCGAGAAGAAGAACAGTGAAATAAAACCTAAAAGTGCTTCAGCCCCAAAACACACGTCCCTCTCCCTCTCTTAATGTTCTTTTCACTTAATTTTTTTTCTTCTTTTTTTCTTTTTCTTTTTGTTTATTTATCTGTTATAAGTTTGGTTCATTTTCCTGTAACTTATAATTAATTTAGTAAAAGAAAACATAATAACTCATCATCATTTCCATATGACTAATAATTGACATTTTAATATCTCTTCTTAATGATTTTTATGTAAACTGAATGTAAATCAAATCTTTTATTAAAACTTAATGTAAATCAAAGTTTTTTTTAAATGTAAATTAAATTTTTTTATTAAAACTTAATTTAAAACAAATTGTTTTAGTAAAGCTTAACTTGAATCAAAATTTTTATTTAAACTTAATGTAAAACTCCTTTCATTAAAATTTAATTAAAAAAAAACTTAAAACTTTTTCTTAATTAAAACTTTTTCTAAATTAAAACTTTTTTAAATTAAAACTCATCTTTAAAACTTAAAATTTAAAATCACTTCTAAAATTAAAACCATTTTTATTTAAAATTAACCAAAACTTTTTTTTAAAAAGAAAAACATAAAACATATAATTAAAAATCATTTTTTATAACTTATAGTTAGTAATTTTTTTTTAAACTTATAGTTAGTATTTCTTTTTTTTTTTTATAATTCAAAGTTAAAATTAATTGTTTTAATAAAAATTAAAAAATAAAGAGTTCCTAGTCTGGCCGTTTAATTTTCGTCTGACCGTTATTTTATTTGTCTCTGGTTGCTAACTTGGAGTCTTTTTTATTTATTTTTATATTTCACCTTTCTGTTGTAATTATGCGAGACATCATCGCTTTAAGTTATTATTTTTGCAATTTTCTTTTTATGGTTGTAATTTATGCGAGTATATCGTCGCGTTATATTCTGTCAGTTAATTTTGCTTTTTTCATGGTTGTAATTTACGCGAGTGATCGTCGCTGTGCATGTTTTACTATTTTCGTACCTTTTCCATATTTTTCATATTGTCGCTTTAATTATCTTTGCACGACGTTTTCCCGTTAAAACCTTTGACCCATTCAAAACCCTAATTGCATAGGTGTCCCGCCGTGGACGAAAATACCCTTTACCCTAACATTAGGTTAAGGAGTCTCCGTACTCCGTTTTAGGGTTTCCCGCCGTGGAATACCTCTTTAACCCTAATTTCAATTCAACTATTTTCAACGTAGAAATAGGAGTCGCCGCACTCCACGTAAGCGCTTCCTTAAGAACGCTTACTCCCCCATTGAAACCTTGACCACAGTCAAGACGTTTCTAACCTCCCTTTCGAGGGGAACTACTATTAATCTGATTCCATTTCCTACCCAGGATACATAGGCACAAGATGTGAATCTTAACTTAGGACTAACCCTTAGATCTTTCTGTCACTTTTAACCCTTAGCACATATACCCTAAAGCGAATAATCAAGCAAAAATAGTAAAATAAACAAAAGGTTCCTGTAGAGTACTACAGAAGTTTAGGGTGCTAATACCTTCCCTAAGTTTAACCAACCCGTTACCTAGATCTCTCCCTACATTGTTTACGATGCACAAATTAGGTTTTCCTTCTTTTGACCTTTTTCTTCGGATAAATCAAAGGGTGGTTGTGAATCAAAGATGACGATTTAAATTAATTAATAATTTGATATCCTATTCTAATCGCAACACATACTGATACCAACCGTTAGATTAATTCCATTTACGATCTTGATATTATGATTCTCAAAGTATTCTAATTTTTTAGAAACAATAAAAACGTATCTGAATTCATGATGATGATTCTTGTTTGTTTCTTGATTTCTTGACTCAAATTCTCCTCTCCACTCCTTTCTCCCGTTTCCTTTATGTGTATCATTGATGATAAAAATACTATTTTATTTAGTTTGAGAGAAATCAGAAAGAATGAGAAAAATTATCAGTTGTATTCCAAAAATACTTATTTTATAGACATCTCATTTCAACAGTCAAATCTCATCCAACATTATATCTCAATGACCATAAAAAGAGAGGGGATTAAATTATATTTTGAATTTCAAAATAAAAAACCCTATTGATTTAATTACCCGATTAAACCCAAACAATTATCACATTTAATAATCTTTTATTTAAAACCAAATTTTATTTACACAAGTTACATATATTAATAAATTAATCTCTTGACCAAAGTGAAACCATGTAGGTGAGATGCAAGTAATGTCTAGGATTTAAAAAATATTAGAGCTTAGAGCATGCTTTAGGTGTTGGAAAGTAAACATCAATAAGAAGAAGTAAGATTATAAAGTATTGACCGAGATAACCATTAATAGAATGAATATCCACGACTGATTCACACTTCCTAGTATTCTGTACACATACAACCTGCCAGATCAATCATGTATGGACCTACATAACAACCTTCCAACAACCGATAAACCAAAGCAAAAGTTTAGTTGTCAACTCTTGACTCTAGCTTAGATAATAATAAAATAGCAACCAAATTGTAGCAGTTGCTACTATTCTATATATCTTGATCAATTATTTTCAAAAACATGGCCAACTAATCTCTTCAATTCAAGCCCAAAAAAGCATCGTTTTCCACAAGATATGATGAATGAAAGAACACTAATTCCAACGTTTGTGTTCTGGGCTTTCCTTACAATAATCACACCAACACTTATTCTCTTGTCTGAGAATTCAAAAACAGACCTTCATTTAAGCGGTAAGTGAACCTTTTTCAGAATCTGTAATTTTTTGTTTATGTATAGATTCTTTGTTAAATTATTCTGTGTTAAAATTTGCAGGAAATATAACAGAGACAATGAAGGTACGAAGAATGAACCGGCACACGCAGAATTATATCATAGCAACACCACCGCCGCCAGACAAGTTGGTGGTTGAAGATGAGGAACTTGCCCCAGCACCAGCTGCATCATATCATAATCATAATCACAGTGCTCTTATAAGGAGCAGTGGCAATATCACTGATGAAGATGCTCCCAAAGAAGCTTCAACTCCAAAAGAAGAAGGTTCAATCTCAAAGTTGGTGTGGTCATCTTTCAGAAACCCTGAGTGACAGATTACTAATCCTACATTCTCCGGAAAGAGCTCTCTAGGAAACAACATTAGCTTAATTAATTTGCATTTCCTTTACCAACCTTCAATGTCCTTGATAAGATTCTCCTCTGGAATATAAATATTGTTGAAGGTCTTTCCAATCTTTTTTACGCATAGAATTTTGTTATATGTCTTTCGATCATCCACAGTTTTAATAGTGTAGGTTCCAATGTCTTCTTGCTTGTTTAACACCACTGCACATGTTCAACAGAAATTTAACGACAAAAAATTTGAGGCTATGTATAGGCCACTTTGCATATTTTCAAAGACGGCTTTTTATGTAATGTTAACTTTTTTGTTGCTATCACCTAAGATAATGACTTTGTCTGTTGGTGGAGCTGTGGCACCAGGTTGGACAAATGAGGGTAGAAAATAGCCAGCAAAGAAGTTGGTGGATACATAGCTATATGGTATGCCTTCATTTGCAATCTTACGTCGAATATGAACTTTAATGGAGAATATAGATTTTGCTGGTTCAATGGCATGGACACGTTCCATGTTGTTCCCAAATTCTGTAGGAAAAAATCTATGAAGACAAGACATATAACACTTCAGGGAGATGTTACACTCACTTTTATATTATTCAATTTTTACGTATACATACTTCAGAGGTTAGAGGTTCAAAAATAGTTTCTCACCTCTTATTCTTTTAGAGGTTGATGGTTCAGAAGCTATCAAAGCTTCAAAGGTCAGACTATTACATCCTCTAACTCCTTCAGATGCTAGGTTGTTTCAGCCCCTGACATCATCAGAGGTTGATGACTCAGAAGTCATCAAACCTTTAGAGGCTAACGATCCAGAAATCATTCCAACCACTGAATCAAATGCCACCATTTTCATGTCTATCTTCAACTTAGAAAATTGTTCTCCTTTTAGAGTCTTAGTCAAGATATCAACAATTTGGTCCTTGATAGGACAATATCTCATTGTCAACGTACATTCCTTTGTTCACTTGTATTGATAAGTTTATTGCATATTTATTGTCAACAAGGAGCTTGATTGGTACTTGAATGTTTAATCTACGTTCAGTCAATACAGCTTCAATCGAAACAGCTTGACAAACATATGAACATCTAGCAATATATTCTTCCTCACAGTTATACAGAGGCACAACAGGTTGCTTATTATAGATCCAAGAGATTGAATCTCCTTGAAACTTGAATACATAATCTATGGTACTTCTCTTGTCTAATCTTTCACCATACCAATCTGAACCAAAAAATCCTATAACATCTTTTTTGCTTCCCTTTCTTCCATATCAGAAGAATACACCATGCTTCAAGATTACTCTTTTTTCAGCTAGCAGATGAGACTTCTTTGGATCATGCATGAATATGCTTAGTACTCCTACAACAAAGTTGATATCTGGTCAACTATTGCATATATAGGTACCTCAATGATCCAATCATCTGCTTGTACAGGGTGAGATCTACGCTTTCTTCATCATTATCTTCTTCCAACTTCTGACCTGATTCAACAGGAGTCACAACAGTGTTGCAGTTCAACATGTTGAATCTTTTCAGCAAGTCAGTAGCATTCGTTGCTTGATGCAATATTATTCCACCTTCTTTGAATAGAAACTCCAGACCAAGGAAGTAAGACAGGTTACCTAGATCTGACATCTTAAATTCTATCTTTATTGTACTCTTGAGGTCTTCGATTTTCAGTTGAGATTGTCCAATTATCAAGAAGTCATCTACATACAAACATACCAACAATAGTATTTCACATATCTTGTATATTACATACACATCATACTCAACTGAACATTTTTGAAAACCATGATTGATGAAGAAAACATCAATTCTCCTGTTCCAGGCTCTTGGTGCCTGCTTCAAACCATACAAATCCTTGTATAGTTTATACACCATATGCTCTTTTCCCTTTACTTCAAAACCTGGAAAACCATGTGAGGAGGAAAACCATGTTTCATATAGACCATTTTTCCCTATACACCATAGCATGGAAGATTTTTTTCCAAGTTCCTGTCGAAGTCTTTCTTGCCAATCTTGCCTATATCACCATTGTAGTAACTTTGGTCATCTTCAATATTTTCTACAATGCGATCCTCTCTCCAGATGGCCACCCTTTGGTGTAGGATCAATGACACAACCCAAATGCCATATATCCATTCACGCCCAAACAATAAGTTGTAATTTGTGTTGGATTTGATAACCATGAACAAAGTTGGCCTAGATCTCGATCCTACAGACAAATCGACCTGGATCACCCCTAAGATATTGTTGGTTTTATCCTTGTAGTTGGACAATACCATGTTTTGGGGACTCAGATCTTCATCAACCTTCCCTAACTTTTTAAATACAGAGTATGGCATCAGATTGATTGTTGCACCACCATCTACAAACACCTTGTTGACAGCTTTAGTATCCACCTTTTCCCTAATAAAGAATGGTTTAAAATGATACATCATGCCAGAGTCTAGCCTCTCAAACACCGCCTATTGCTCCTCGACTACTCCGTTATTCATGACATAGTAGCATACAGGTTTCTGGTTGATAGCCTCGTCCGGGGCAAAGTCCTCCTCGACCTCTAACACCCGGTCATACTCGACTGACAACACTGATACGCCACAATTAATCTAGAGGTCTCCCTCCAAATCTTTGCTGAAATTGTCTTCAACCATCTCATCGTTCGAACCAGGGGTATACTCAGGTTCTTTGTGCCTTGGTCGAGGCGCATAAAAAGGTACATAAGCATCCTCAGTCTTAAGAGAGTATTCAAGATCATAGTGATGAAGATCCTTCTCATCTGGTTGAGGGGTGAGACCTAGTATTCTAAGGTTTTGTCCCTCACCCCCAAGTCCTGCTCTAATAAGGGAATCGTGTGCCATTTTTGGTACATACTGTGTTTTTGCACCTTTCTTAGTCTTCTTAAAGTAGGGCTTTTAATTTGGCTTCTTTGTAGTCGACTCATGCTTCTCTAATGGAGCACCATGCCCATTAGCTTGAGCCTCCCTTTCAGCTTTTTTCCTTCTTTGATAACGCCTCCATTGGGTGTGTGTCATAGGATTTTTTTTCCTTTGTAGATTTGAGATACGTGATTTCTTTTATTCGCCTTCTTCTAGGTCTTGTCATTTGGCATCCCGGGTTTTGGATCAACCTCTCTCCATTTTGGTTTAATTGCCTCTTTTAGTTAGTAGGTTTCACCCATTTCTCTTTTGGCGCACCCGCATGTGGCTTGAAGGTCTTCTGCTAAGGTTGCAGGAACTGTCTCCTGTAGTCCTCATTTCGACGAGACATGCCGCCACTGTTAGGAGAAAACCTTGTTGTTCGACCTCCACCGCGTCCATGACCGAGATTGGTCCTTCGGGATCCTTCCACTTTCTTTGCAGCATCTTCGTCGAAGACAACACTGCAACGTGGGCATATCATAGTTTTGGAGTCGTTTGATAACACGAAATCATATCGTTTATTTGGCTTGATTTACATGCATTTATTTGTGACTATTGTTAATTTATCTTGATTTATGTTCTGTTATATGATTAATTTACTTTGTTTAGCAGATTGGGGAGAATTTGGGCTAAAGAAAGAAAAAAAGAAGAAATGGAAGGAAAACAGATGAAAAACAGCAGATATGAATTTTGCTGATATGACGGTCGTCACATGACCCTTACGACCGTCATGCGTATTACGACCGTCACATTTCATGACGAGCGTCACACAGACAAAATATCAGTACGTTCAAATCAGAAGTAGCCACGATCACTCTCAACTTAATTTCTTCCTACACTTTCTCCACTCACTGCCCACTACTAGAAGTTACTCCCACTCCCTCCATAACTCACCCATGATCTCTGGAAGTTGAAGAATGAATTATCTCCTATAAATAGGCCTTAGATTCAGAGTTTCAGGGGAGCCTTCGACGTATCGAAGTGCTGCCGAAATTACCAATTGAAGCTGACTTTAGGTTCTTGCATTATTTTCCCGTTTCCTTTTCCTTTTATTCCCATTTGTATGGTTTTATTTGTTCCCGTACCTTTTACTTCTTGCCAAAACAGAATCCTGCCGACATTGTGGGGGACTACCCAAGGATTTGAGATCAGTATAATTTACAGGTTTTTATTAATTGAATTACTACTTTATTTCTGTCATAATGCATGCTTTATTATTCAGTTGTTTATGTCTATTTCCGTTTGCATTAATTATGATGTCTAGCTAAATTAGTTTATCGGTATGTGTCGCACCTCGAAAATTCATTCGAACATACGACCCTCGCGCAAAAGGCGTGGAAATGCGGTTCGACAGAGTCGCAACCGAACTTTATTTTTCCCGAATAAACGGGAGAGGAAAATATCGAGAAAACCTCATAAAAGCGGAAGGAACACGACCGTCGCAACCATATTCCTGGGTTCGGGAGTCGGTTACGCGAGGGGAAGGTATTAGCACCCCTCACGTCCGTTGTACTCAACGGGAACCTCTTAATTCGAGTTGTGATGGATGTTAGCTAAATTTATTCTTCTCTTTTCAATACTAAATACTAAAATGGTACTATAAAGGGATAAAGACGCTAGGGGAAAGGGGATGGTTAGAGGATAGGGTGCTCGCCAAGGATTGGGGCCCTTGTGCCTACGTATGCTCATTCGGACGAGATGAGAAATCAGAGCGTCGTAGTTCGACTACAGGAAAGGATGGGGGAAGATGGAAGATGGAGGGGATTGTGCTCGCCAAGATCATTTCAATATTGTGCCTACGTATCTTACATTCAAGGATGAATGAAGAATCAGAGCAGTCGTAGTTCGTGGTAACGACCACGAAAGAAACGGGTTTGAATGGGTTTGAAGTGGGTACGGATGACGATTACTCGAAGCTTAAGAAAGACTTCTCGAACCCAAGTAATCGGGAGAGCGAACCAAAGACTTGGAACTCTCTCTTTTTCATCTTGAAGATAAGGTTGTGTTTGAAAGGGTGAAGTTGATCAGATGACGACTACTTGAAGCTT